AAACTGCAAACAACGCCGCGGCTTAATTTTATTTTCATTACTTCGGTTTGCTTATTTTAATTAGTGGCCTTAATCTGCAATTAGCCCAGAGGTCAGCTGTACTGTCAGCATTAGACGGAAAAGAGGCGTCGTTCTCACAGAAACTGTTTGTATTTAATTAGACGGTTAACCCGTAAAGTGTCACTCAGCCCGACTTACGGCAGATACCGACTCATGTTCAGGATTTATTTAGTTTAACTTACTGCGACGAAATCCAACGAAACCTGCGCGTTAGCATGAAATAAACAACGAGCAGCTGTTTTATTACTATTATTATGATACTATGTGTAGTAAAGGATGAAAAAGATTAAAAAATAAATAACATTTGACAGTAAAAATACACAATTTTTACAGTAACTAAATCAGACTTTCACTGTTTTGTTAAACTACTGATGACATCCAGTAAAATCACAGATAAAAACTTATTAATTTAGACGTTATTGTTGAAAGAAACCGTTTGGACGTGTGTTTAATTCCACTGTTAACCCACAAAATGTTAGATCCACTCAGAGAGAGAATTTTTTCATTGTTTTCTTTAAAGTCAGAAGTTTACATCCACTAAGATGTCTTCAGACTATTTGGGAAAGCCCAGATGATGTCACGGCTTTGGAAGCTTCCGATTGGTTAATTGACAACATGTGAGTCACTGCTTCCTTCTGTGACAACATGGGAACATCTAAAGAAACCAGGAAGAGAACTGTGGACCTCCACCAGTCTGGTTCATCCTCGGGTTCCACGTTCATCTGTTCAGACAGTTCTATCAGGTATAACCACCATGGGAATGTCCAGCCATCAGAGCCATCATAGGAGACGGTTCTGTGTCCCAGAGATGAAGTGTTTTGGTTGAAATGTGCGAATCAACCCCAGAACAGAAGCTGAAGACCTTGTGAAGATGCTGCTGAAGCTGGTCAGAGAGTCATTATCCACAGTGGAACCAGTCCTGTACTGACATGGGCTGGAAGGATACTCAGAGAGGAAGAAGACATCACTCCAGAAGACATGTCCTGTGGTCTGATGGAACTAAACCTGAACTGTTTGGCCTTAATGACCATCGGTACATCTGGAGGGAAAAGGAGGAAGCTTGAAGCCTGAGAACACCATCCCAGCTGTGGAGCACGGGGGTGGCAGCATCATGCTGAGGAGGGACTGGTGCACTTCACACAATAGATGGCATCATGAGGAAAGAACATGATGTGGAAATGTTGAAGCAACATCTCTAGACATCAACCAGGAAGTTAAAGCTTGGACACTAATGGGTCTTCAGATGGACAATGACTCTCAGCATAGCACCAGATTAGTTATAAAGAGGCTTCAGGACAACAGAGTCATTGTTGTGGAGTGGCCATCACAAAGTCCTGATCTCAGTCCTGGAGAACATTAGTGGAGCAAGGAGACCAACAAACCTGACTCAGTTCTGTCAGGAGGAATGGACCAGAACTCATCAGAGTGCTGTGAGAAGCTTGTGGAAGGAAAACGTTTGACTCAAGTCATAGAGTTTAAAGGCAACGCTACCAGATACTGAGGAGATGGATGGAAAGTAGTAAAAAAATCTCTCTCTCATTATTTTTATATAAATAATGTCGTTAATCCTGACTGATCTAAATCAGGAAAAGTCTGATTTAATGTCAGACAGTGAGAATAAAAGGTTTTATATCTTTTTATACGTAAACATCTGGTTTCCGTTGTATTTAACTAAATTACCGTTTGCAGCAAAACAAGGCGACTTCCATCACTCAGCGACAGTAAACAGAGGAGTTCCTTTTATTCCACCACGTGGCGTCTAAAAGAGATTATTCCCTGAAACCTGAGTGGATGTGACACCTGCAGATCTCCCAGGAGAACCTCGGCAGGATTGAAAGCTGCTGCAGCGAGCAGCTGTATGAGCATGTGTCCGTACAGTGGAATATTTTTTAATAAACTTAATTTCTTGCTCCTCGCTGTGTAATTATCCTCTTGTTAGAGTTTCCATGTCAGCTAACGTCTTTATCTTAATTCAGGACGGGGCTGGCTCAGCCGTCGTCGATGCTCGGCTCCCGGTTGGAGCACGAAGGTTGGAATATGATCCGAATGAGGCTGCTTGACTTCCCAGATGGAGGCGGTTCAGACCAGCTGGACACGTCAGGCCTCCGCTGGACGGCTTTCGTTCTGCCGCCTCGTCGCTGGATGTGGAAGGACGGAGAAAACCCAACAACCGACCGTCTACTTCTGCTTTAAAGCCACGTTTAGCTGCTGCAGGCCTCCCAGTCGCAGCACCTGGAATGCTAAACAGCTGCAATAAAACACGTCGACTGTAACTCAAACACCGTCGTGAAATATTTACAGCGAAGGCGACGAACGCTGCACAGACTCACAGAGATCCTGGACGACTCCACGTCAACGCCGAACCGTCTCCGTCTTTAGCTCACATTAATTTATAATAATTTACCGTCTGCGCTGCTTTACGGTGGAGATTTATTCCACCGCTCACGTTCACGCGATCCTTTTAGGACACATTGGATTATTTAAAACTGTTTTATCATCGACCTGCCAGACGGCTTCGTTCCTGAACAGAGATAATGGTTTTATCTTCACACCGTCCTGCTGCTGCTTCGTCCAACAAACTCGTTTTAACGTGTTGTGTTTTACAGCGTGTCAGGAGAGAAGCTCATATTTTAGATGTGATGTGGGAGAGTTTAGCTTTTACCTCTAAAGCTCTGGAACAAGAGAAATAATAGTATTTTACATGTTAACAGTAAAAAAAAAAAAACAAACACAAACATCCAAAACCTGAATTCTTACTCTTCGTCATTTGAGGGGAAAATTATAAAAATCAATAAAATTTTGAAAAAATAATAAATTATTAAATCAACCAGAAATATGTTTCTTGCTGTTACTTGTAAGAATAATTATTTATATTAAAGACTAAAATCAACTATAAATATCATTAATTTGCAGATGTGGGCCGATATTTTCACCAGTTTTTACAGTTTTTGAACGTTGCTGCCACATTTTTACAGTTTTATTAAACTACAGATGGTTTCTGATAAAATCACAAAAATGTGTTAATTTACACATTGGCTGTAAAATAAAATAAAATAAAATAAAATAAAAACTAAGCTATAAATAATGTCCTTAATCCAAAAAAATTATTTTATAAATATTATTTTCTTCTTTTTACAACATTTGCCGGTAAAATTACACTATTGTCAATAAATTATTTAAGTTATTTTCCTTTAATTGAATAAAACAATAATCGACATTAAGGTTTAAAATAACAGGGTTTTTTTGGGTTTCTTTTACAGATTTTTTTCTGTTTTGTTCAATTACAAATAAGATTTTATATATGTATATATATATAATATTAAATCATAGAATAAAGTATTAATATTGACATTGACTATAAATACAAAAACTAGTATTTATTTTCAACCAAAACTATGATTTTATTCACTGATATTTGCTGTTATTTAAAAGAAAAATGTACATGTATATTCCGGGTTAAAAAATGGGGAATTAAAAAAAAAAAAAAAAAAAAAGTATTTAAATTTTTTTTCTTTAAGGTTTCTTTACACGGTCTCCGGCTGTTTGGCTAAAATCTAGTTTGTGTGTGCAGGAGGTGGATATAATGTGAGAGTTTACAGCCTGAATACCTCCTCTGTAGCAGAGACATTATTCTGTTCCTGAGAGAGTTTGTAAAAAAAAAAAAAAATATATATATATATATATATATATATATATATATATATGTGTGTGTGTGTGTGTGTGTGTGTATGAAAAAGATCCTGAACAGGCTTCGGACCAGTTCGTGAACCAACATCACAGGAGCCAGAACAACATGTGGACGTAGTCGGCTGTGGAGCGGATCGATTCCACAGAAAGAGTAAGTGGTCAACGACAGGAACGGCTCTGCAGCTCTGCGGGCTTCAGATAACTCCGACCGGCGCACAAACACTCGGCCGACCGCAGAAAACTCCCACCTCCAGCGCCGCTCCGCTGCCTCGGCCGCCGCCGCCACTTTGTCCGGCAGCAAAGGAAAGTCTTTCCAATCAATCCGCTCAGCGTGGAAGCTGAACTCGCACTCGGCTGCTGTCTGGCTTTAAAACCCGGCGTCTGCCCGCGACATGCCTTATCAATCACCCAGAATATCTCCTTTGTTCTGCAGCATAAAGACACTGCCGCTTGTAAACGCACTTTTCATCCTTGAACCTGCGTCTCAATGGAGCTATAAATAACTGGCCTCTCCAGCTGCACTCAGGCCTCCTCGTTAGAGCCGGGCATTATGGGAAATAACGGCGGTTTCATTACGCAGCCAGAGAGCTGCAGATGGAGCACATACATTATTAGTCAGAATAGTCAGAACTGTGCGTGAAATAAAATTATTTCTTTAAACGTGAAACAGAAAATTAGCTTCCAGACTGCGAGCGGCTAACTGGGCCAGCTCGTCCTCCCCGCCCCTCGTCTCCGCAGCCCGATAAGCTTCGCCAAAAAGTGAGATTTAGCTCAGGGCATGTGTGCAGAAACCTCCATGAATAACAGTGGAAGTGAAGGAGCACTTTTTAAAAAGAGATAATTGTGAAGCAGACGCCGCTGCGCCGACTTACAAGCGGTGGTTTCCATGTGACCGCGGCGGCTAAAGCCCCGGTATCATTCATTAATGCCCCGGCTCCTCATTACTGTCTCCTCACACTTTTGAAAGACTCATTACCTGCATAATGGAATAGTGCTTAGAACAGTCAGACCTTTCCTCAGTGTGAATTAATCACCTACATGCACAGTCAAAAAGGGAATTCTCACATTAAATATTAAGAAACTTCTCGCTTTCGACTTCTTCTTTCTTTTTTTTTTTTCAAAACTTCTAGAAGGTGTACTTTCTTGAAGTGCACCGTCAGGGACATGACACCGGTATCACCGCCCGGCCGCCCCGCCGTCTTTCATGTGTCTGCGAGGGAGGAGAAAGAAAAAGAAGAAAGAGATGTACTTACAGTTGACTGTGACTTTTACTGTTTTGGAGTCAGGAGAGGCGATGTCATTTAAAGCGCTGCATTCGTAGTCTCCAGCCTGGTCCCTCGTGATGCCGGTGATGTTGAGATATTCGCCGCTGTCATACTTCCTGGCTGGAAATAGAAAAATGGAGGCAAAGTACTTACAGCGTGTCTACACAGAATACAAACACCCAGCACATATATATATAAACACACATAGACTGTCTGTGGTCGGTGGTTAGTCTGTGGAAAGCCTTCATTTGCAGTAAACAGCCTTCTAGACGAGGTTCGGTATTGAACTCCTGATTACCTTCCTTGCATCCTAAAATAACAGCGGATCAGCAGCGCATCGATTTATTCATATTGATACGGTGGCAGGAAATAATTGTGTATTCCCAGTCATGCGCTCATCATTTGCTCGACTCCAGACCGTGCAGTCGGAGCTATTTCCTGGAAGACTCACAGATTTGACGGCTCAATGCACATGTCAGTGCTTTATAGTTAGCTAGCGGTGCTAAAGGCGGCGGCGGCGGCGGCAGAGCACCGTGACTGGCTCGTTGGCAGGAGACGCTGGAAAAGTGCAAATCCTCACCGGCATCTGCATGCAGCACTCCAATCAACGGAGAAGCAGAATATACAAACACGGTCACAGCTGATAGACACAAACCCACGATGCAAATGTAGCGCTGGGGGAGCTGAGATACATCCGAGTCAGCTGGAGACGTCAGGAATAAGATGGGTTCGAGTTTCCAGTGACTCCCACAACTATACAACACTCATGCATTTTTTTTATTTTTATTTTTTTTAGAGATTTATTAAAGGTCTTTGGGAAATATGACAATTAACTTCTTGTGAGTGATTCTGATTGACTACAGCTGCTGAAATCAAAGCAAATCAGTGACTTGAACCAGTCAGAAAGTCACTTGGAGCCATTTCAGAGCAGCTTCAGATCCCAGAACCATCAGTTTGTTAGTATAAAGTTCATGGTCCAGTTGTGTTACTGCCACCATCAGGAAGAAAACACAAACTATCACCTGCTGCTGAGAGACGATTGGTCAGGATGGTCAAGAGTCAACCAGGAACCAGCAGAAAGCAGCTCTGGATGGATCAGAAGCTGCTGGAACACAGCTGTCAGTGTCCACAGGGTTTGACATCAACATGAGCTGAGAGGCTGATGAAGAAGGAAGCTCTTCCTCTAGAAGCAGAACCTTAAAGCTCCACTGAAGTCTGATCACATGGACAAAGAAAAGGCCTTCTGGAGGAAAGTTCTGTGGTCAGATGGAACAAACACTGAGCAGAAACATGTTCAGAGAAGAGAAGGTGAGGCCTTTAACCCCAAGAACACCAAACCTACCATCAAGCATGGAGGTGGCAGCATCATGCTCTGGGGCTGTTCTGCTGCCAGTGGAACTGGAGCTTTACACAAAGTCAATGGAACAATGAAGGTGGAGGATTACCTCCACATTGTTCAGGAAAACCTAAAACCATCAGCAGAAGGTTGATCTTGGACGCAGTTGGATGTTTCAGCAAGACAATGAGCCCAAACACACATCAAAGTGGTGAAGAAATGGTTCAATCAGGCTGGAATGAAGGTTCTAGACTGGTCTCCCCAAAGTCCTGACTGAAACCATCAAGAACCTGTGGACTGATGAAGAAACAAGTCTGAGTCAGAAAGACAACACGTTTAGTTGAACTGCAGCGATTCTGTCCAGAGGAGTCAAAGATGAACCAGAAGCTGGTGGATGGAAACCAGAAGAACCCAACTGAGGAGAACATGGACGCTTAGCCAGATATTAGTTTTACTGTATGTATATGTATGATCCAT